CTAATTAATACTTCGATGACCATATACTTTGTGGAGTAAAATTTAAATGAAATACAATTGTCTAGGCCACAGTGTAAGGCCAACTTCCTCATGCAATGACTGCTTGTCTGCCTTTTACTAATAAAACGGAGGATGTGCATATTATCTCCGAAGTCAATTTAAAAATATATATCCATGCGGGTGATTTTCACTTAAAACACCCTTCCAAATGCCTAAATGCAGTTTTTCATCCCAAGTAACTCCCTATATTTCACATTTAAGCAAATTTCTTTTGACTTTTAAAGTTAAACAAATGTCATTTTTTTTCTTGAGTCAACTCGAAGTATAATTTAAGTAAACCGGTCAATTTTCCTATTTCAGGGATTTGGCACTACTTCGTTCGATAGATGATGGTGCATCCGAATTGAGTGTTATTCAGCCGATGGTGTCTTCTGGCCTTGTCAAAAGGCTCAACAAAGGGGCTCAATACATCCAGGGCGATGGCGTCTATCTTCGACAGAATTGCCTCTTCCCTGGTTATTGCGTTTCTGGAGTTCACAGAGAGTCTGGAAGGTTTGCTCTTGGCGGAAGATGGGGCTGTCTGGGCATCTATGAAGTAGAACCAGGTGAGTCTTAGTTTTTTTCTAATATATTATCAAGCATTCCAGAAATTTTGTGAAAATTGATCTACTGTTTCTTGCGTATCAGTCGAGTGGGGTGCGATCTTTCATCAAAGAAACTATTAGAATAGTAAACATGCAAAATAAGCTCTACTATTTGGCTCGGTGTTTCTGGATAAGATAATCAGCTTCATTTTCAAATTCATCAAGTTTTACTTAACAGCTTTTGATGATTTTTGCTTTGTTTTCAAACATCATGTTTTTGCCCTTTATGATACGTCGATGTTTCGTCACGCTCTTGAACAGTTGAAACCTTGAGCTACCCTCAGGTGGTCAATTTCCGAGCTCACTTGTCTTTGAGAAATAAACTGAGTCGTTTACTTTCAAAATGCCTTTGTGTTAGCATCGGAGATGGTTGACTTTCTCAATAGCAAATGCCAATTAGGTTTTTTTGCTATAAAATAGTTTGTACCGCCGCACAGGCGACTGCATAACTTCCGCTCTTCTGGCCCGCGAGAGCTGGTGAAATTTATCTTTAATGTCTGCATTTTCTTTATCAACAACGTTTATTTATTTCAAATGGCAGGCGTTTTGATAGATATCATTAGCCATTTAGCTGACTTCGGGCTTCACAGAGGGGAAGGTTCATCAAAGTAGCAGAAAGTCGAGGGGTGGGGAACAGAAGAGCGATTCACAGATGTAAAAGAGGCATACAGACACAAATGTAGAGAAAAAAGGAAGATGAGTACTGTGGAAGGGGTCGAATATGACAAGCAGTCGGGCCATGGTAGTTTGAAGTCAGAAGTCAAATGCCGGTTAATAGACTTTTTTGCCGTATGAGTATACGTTGCCCAGGGTGCACCACATGGAGGTAAGTCTATCGCACACCCCTCGTCAACAACGTAAGAACACACTTTTGTAATTTCTCTTGATTTGAGTATTTTTATCAGGTATGCCTGTACTTTTCAAGTGTATTGGGAAAGAACTCTTTGTGATCTTAATATTCTCCGAATTCCGGATGCCATGGGCGTTAGCTTTAAATCGAAATTTCTAAACGATTAAATGCGTGATTTAATACCAAAAGTTCATTTGATATCGTCCAAATTCACTCTCATCATTTACTTGAAAAGGGAAATGACTTTTTCCTAGCAGATCCTGATACCTAAATTCATTAAAATGGAAATTATGGATATTTATTAAAAATAAAGCTTAAGTGAGTGCACTCAAATTGTTCTCACTTAAATACTACTACTAATAATAATCGTCCACTTCGCTTTGCATCCTGATGCATTTGTCCAGGGCGTAACTTCTGGCCAACTTTCTTATTTCTGACTGGTACGTGGTGTTTGGAAATAAGTGCAAGTCTTGAAGAACTAGTGAAAAGTTTCATATTGCCCTAGCAGTCTTTCCGACGAGAAGCTCAGGTTCAGCAATTTCCCATTCGACGCTTGTCCTCTGCTGCAGTTAACTGAAATGGAGACTTCTCCTTTTCCACACCGACAAACGTTGGTGCTTTATTAACGTCTTTTAATCGATNTGATGCCCCTCTCTTCCAATTCCTATTCTCACTCCTTCCCACCTTTCACTTCCATTCCTTTACAAGTGTCCAACTCGCTCGTTACCCACCTCAGCTCTTGGTCTTCTGATTTTGAGGAAAGGTTGCTGTGGCCTCTTAGTCGTCAAGACTATCTCTACTGTTGCAATTTATCCAGGATCCTACAATAGTTCCACTGACAGCATTTTGGGTCCACTTTAACGCAGTCTAACTGCAATAATACAGTGACCTTGGTTGCTGTAATTCTTCCAGACCCTAGGGAAAGTATTCGTAGTGGTGTGACTACATGGTCTTAATCTTTTCACTGCTCTCGTCACTACTGCTATCATTTTTTGGGTGTTGTATACGTGTTTCAGGAGGGCACAATGCTCATTATAATCCTTCCAGTTTGCCTTATTTAGTTTCTTAAATAGGGATTTTATTATTTCAAAGGGCTCTATTTGTTTTATTGCGCCTAAGTGAACGAGTGGAAATGTCGAATTTCTATTAGTGTTTATTTATTTATATCAAATGGCAGGCTTTATGATAGTTATCATTAGCCCTTTAGTTGACTTCAGGCTTCACAGAGGGGAAGGAACATCAAAGTGAAAAAAGTCGAGGGAGGGGGGGGGAGATAGAGGAGTGTTTCAAAGATGTAAAGGAGACAGACACAAAGGTAGATGAAAGGTGAGGTGTGTACTGTGGAAGTGGTCGAATATGACATACAGTTGGGGTGATGGTAGTTTGAAGTCAGAATTCAATTGCCAGTTAATAGACTTTTTTGATGCATGAGTATACGTTGCCCAGGGTGCACCACGTGGAGGTAAGTCTATCGCACACCTCATTTTATCAGTATAGTTGGTTTATTTCCTTTTTATTCACTTCAAAAACTTCTGTTGGGCCCGCTCCACAGCGTCACCTTTTTTGTAACCTTCTTCTCTCTTAACCGAATTATTATATGCTTATTCTCGAGTCTTTATAATTTTAATTTTGTTTAAAATTTGCTTATAATTAATAAGTTGGATTTATTTCACTGAACTATTTTTCTTCATTTATATCGGAATCCCTTGCTTTAATTCCTTCTTCCAACACTTTTCCATTATTCACTCGTTAATGTCAATGTCAAGTGATGGTAAAGCAAAAAAGAAGCAAATATGAAACTCCCTCTCTAATGCCTTCTCAAGGTGTTGGATTTCATTCTGACGTTGGACAGATAAGCTGACGCGATAATTAATAGACAAGGGACCTAATCTGTTGTCACACATTTCAACTGACAAAGTGGTGGTGGAGGAGAGCTCAAGAGTCTCTGTTTATCTTCTCATCAAGAAATGTGAATTCGAATTGGTTCACCCACTTAAAGACGCTTGCCGAATAGATCCTTGCAAAAAGTGATTCTTTATTTCAATGTCTGCCTATTTGGTTTACTATTAAATTCGCTCTCTGTTTGCAAATTCCCACCTCATTTTAACCTCCCCAATAATTTAATTAGCATTTTAGTAAATAAATAACTAATCAAACTTAACTGGAAAATCGAATTGTATCAAAACATTCCTCTGTAGTGCCTTTTTGTTGATTTGAATGCTACTAATGCATCTCTAGATTTGAGTTACGCTGTATGCAATCATTGAATCGATGTGAGCTTGTTGTTATGCAATTTCGCCTCATAATCTTTGTTTTGCAAATTCTTTTTTACCCAATAACTTGTTATTTTTGCAAATTTGGCGACTTATAGGGATATGTTTTTTTAATTGTATTGCACATCACACAGCTCATATGAGATGACGTCTTGCTGTTTTTTTTTCATAAAATCTGATTTTTTCGACACCTTAGTGTTTGTATTCTTTTTGCAGCCTCAATGACTTAACTTTGGTCTATAGGTTTCTACTATCAAGCTGGTTAAATTCGCCTTGGTATAATCGATTTTGAGATCACAGCCAGTCTTTAAAATGCTTTGAGCTCTCCAAAAGGTCTCCTATTGGCATTTATTTAGTCGGGTGAATTGATCTCTTTAAACCCATCTTTAATACGTTCTCCTCTCTCTCTCACGCACACATGAGACTCATACTTTTTAAGAATCAGTTTGTACCCGGCTTAAGGAGAGTGTCAGTTAGTTGTGGCTAATTGCAACTAAAGACAAATGGCATAAGATGTCTCTTATCATATCTCCTCATCGATTGGTTAGCCTACTATTCTCCCTCTCTTCGATAAAGGTGTTTACGTTTGTAATTTCTTCGGAGGCCAATCACCTTTCTCAGAGCTTATCTCGGTTACAGTTGGGTTTAATTCTACTATCAATAGCAGATGCTGTATTTTGAAGAGCTTAACAGCAATCCTTATTTTAGATTATTTTATGATTTAGTAGGAAGCTTCGCATAAACAAGTCCTTATTAAGGGACATCTGGCAGTTATGAAAATATAGAAAATAAGAACATAAAGAACGTTGTGGAAGGGGAGGAGGTCATAATGGGTTCAGGAAGCAGCAAGAAATTCGACGGGAACAACTATTTTGCCACAATGGCTAATAAAGCGAGGTTTTTCGACATAGTGTATCACATTTTTTGGGGAATGACTACTTTTTTTCGTGTTGGTCTGCATTCTGGCAGGTTGTCTTTTTTGACAAAGTTGATAGCTTAGCCTACTTACAATTCCTCAGTAGCAACGAGCTTGGTTGTTTTCAGTCTACAGCATTCATATTACTTGGACATTTTATAAAGGTTCCATTTAGACCTCTACATTTGCTTCATAAACCTCCGGTAATTTTATAAATTACAATTATTTCTTTTACAGCAATCTAAAACTGTAATTGTGGAAAACTTTTGAGCAGTAGGAAAGTGGTTGGAGGTGGGGGGGGGGGGGGGGGGGGGGGGGTGGATGGAGAGAAGTCGAGTAATTTGGTTTACTTTCCCACCACTTAGCTTAAGTGGAGATTAATTAAAAATGGGTGTTTAAAGTATTGGGAGTCGGCTTAATTCGCGAATCCATCCATTTATTGAGATAAATTTGAAGCTGTTTAAGTGGGTAATATATCGACTAGTACCAGGTAATAGATCATAGAAACAAAAAAAATGGGAAGGAAATTTAAAGATTTAAAGTTTATTGAAAGAGAGGAGAGATGCTGTTATATCTTCCAAATGTTTGTACACTTTTTTAATGCCTCAATTATTATGGAAATTTAATCTCTCCTTCATTTAAACATATCCGAAAAAATTCATCGTCTTCCTCTTGTTTGCATCAAGACACAAATAAATCAATGTGGCATGACAAACCACTGAATTGAATTAACCTGTAAACTTACTGTGACTCGTAGGTGTTACCTCTTTCATGAACCCGGGGCGAGGGGGATAGAGTCATGACATTCGGGGATTAGGACATTGTTCACTTACTGTGCTCCCTGGGCATTCAAGTCTTCCAGTATTAAGACTCCTCCTACGCTAACTTCAATACTTACTTCTTTGCACATTCTTTAATTTATTCTGATATGGT